TCTCAATCTCTTGCCCAAAACCCTATCAACAACCACAAGAGAATAACTGGGATACAAGGATCACGCCACTGCCCACAATATCTAAAACCTTTCCAGGTAATCACAGCAAGAGTCTACTGTAGATTTGATCTAACTTGAGATGAGAATACTGCTAGATGATTGTGAATAGTCTCTCTGCGTTGTCCTTGTCTTCTTTCCTTTCTTTCTCTTCCTTTTCTGCCTTGTTCTCTTTCTTCTCTTTGGAATCTCGTCGCTCCAAAGATCTACCTCGTTGCTACCTTTTTATAGCTTTAATCTGCCTCTAAAACGCAGCCACCACACCACTCTAATCTTAATTAGGGTTAGGTTAAGAGGGGGTGTGGGCTGATAAAGCCCACATGGGCTGAATATGGGCCATCAGCCCAACATCTCTCGCCATCTTCGTCGCCGTCCTGATCTCAGGTCTGTTATCATCACTGGTTCTATGCATGCCTTCCTTTGCCATTGTTACGTCGTGTGTTCATGCACGACACCTGTCGGTGCTTCTTCATGCGCCCACTCCACCACCTTTAACTTCAAGAACAACTGCCCCGACCCTGTTTGGCCTGCCTCGCTGAACGATTCCGACAAAGGTGCTCTTTCCCAGACCGGATTCCAGCTGGACAGTGGCGCCTCCTTTTCGCTGGATGCGCCACCCGCCTGGGGAGGCCGGCTGTGGGCTCGGCACAAATGTTCCACCGACTCGTCCGGTAGATTCTCGTTCCTCTCCGGGGACTGCGGCACTGGGCATGTGGCGTGCAATGGGGCTGGAGGAGCGTCGCCGACCACGCTCGTCGAGTTCACCCTGCAGGGCGACGGAGGCAACGATTTCTACGACGTGAGCTGCGTCAACGGCTTCAACGTGCCGGTATCGGTCGTTCCCAGCGGGGGGTCGAACTGCGACAGCACGTCGTGCCGGACGAACATCAACGCGCGGTGCCCCACGGAGTTGCAGATGCTGGCGCCGGACGGGAGCGTGGTGGGGTGCAAGAGCGCATGCTTAGCCTTCGACACGGACGAGTACTGCTGCAGGGGCCAGTACGGTAGCCCGGACACATGCAAGCCCACCAGCTACTCCAAGATGTTCAAGGATGCGTGTCCTCAAGCTTATAGTTACAAGAGCAGCACCTTCACCTGCGTGGGGGCTAATTACGATATCACCTACTGCCCTTGAAACCAACGTACATCTATCACAAGCTTCATCTTATCTGGCTTTGGCTCTCGAGAGAGCATAAATAAATGAAGAGTTTCAAAATTCTATTCGTGTCATTTGACTTCCATCTTTCTTGCTTTGGACATCGATCATTCATTTCTAGGGAACAAAATGCATACAACACGCTGCCTCATGAGATAAACAAAGGAACAAACTTTGTATACGAATAAATATAAATCGATCGTAACACACAACAGAATTAAATGAAAATCACAATCAAATAGGAAATTAAGATTTACGTTATAAAAATCACGGGGCAAACAAAATAAAATCCACTATAAGAATAATGAAGCCGTTGACGCAGCTCACGTCGTAGAAATCCTTGCCTCCGTGGCCCTGCAGGGTAAACTCGACGAGCGTGGTCGGCGGCGCTCTTCCCGCCCCATTGCACGCCACCTGCCCAGTGCCGCAGTCCCCGGAGAGGCACGAGAATCTACCGGACGAGTCGGTGGAACATTTGTGCCGAGCCCACAGCCGGCCTCCCCAGGCGGGTGGCGCATCCAGCGAAAAGGAGGCGCCACTGTCCAGCTGGAATCCGGTCTGGGAAAGAGCAACTTTGCCGGAATTGTTCTGCGAGGCAGGCCAAACAGGGTCGGGGCAGTTGTTCTTGAAGTTAAATGTGGTGGAGTGGGCGCCTGAAGAAGCACCGACAGGTGTCGTGCATGAACACACGACGTAACAATGGCAAAGGAAGGCATGCATAGAACCAGTGATGATAACAGACCTGAGATCAGGACGGCGACGAAGAAGGCGAGAGAGACGAGTCGTGGCTGCGCCATAGAGGAAGGCTCCGGAGAACTAAGAGGAGTTGGGGTGAGACGAAACGTCGCATTGAGGGGGCACTATATATAGAGCCAAGTTGTCGTGTGCATGAACTGTGTACATTAGATCTGAGATAGGTGTACCGACCCAAAGGTGGCACCGTATGCAGAATGCCGAATCTGGGATCGACTTCCAGCATAGGAAGGTGAATAAGATGGTCCATATGCATTAGCTCAACCAGTATGAAGACATAATGTTCGATTCTACGACCACTGTGGGCTGAGGCCCTATGGGCAGTCGGTTTCGATTTCTTTCTACTGGATTCCAACTACTACTCTCTCCAACCACTACTCTCTGTTCTTTCTCGTCACGATCATCAAATCTCCCTTTCCTCTATCTCTTTCTCTCTTCTCTTCCTTTTCGATCTCTCCTTGTCTACATTATTCAATAGTGCGGTGGCTCATTTTCTCCTTTTTTTTTTCTTTTTTTTTTCTTTCTGTCGTCCGTCTCCATCCTTTAGGTGAGAAAACAAAGAATAGACTAAATTGAAGAACAAAGACATGTTTGAAGCAAATAAGATCACAAAGTATAGAAGCTCCTCCTCGTCCCAATCTTGTTGTTATGTTCTTGTCAGATTATAATTTTCTACTTTATTTTTCCTTCTTATATGGCTTAGTCGTGTTGGGCAGACAGCCCATTGTGGACTTTAACAGCCTATATCCCACTTCCCTTATTAACCTAAACCTAGATCTAATAAAAGGGGTGTGAGGGCTGATAAGTAGATGAGATTTTCTAATTGTTTGAGGAAATCTCTCTACTCTGTTGAGGGAAATCCTCTAATCTGTTGAGGAAAATTCTCCCTTCTAACCTGTATAAAAGGATGGAGGATATGTTAATAACAATCATCTACTTCTACAACTTGTTTATCTATTTATTTTCTAACATGGTATCAGAGCAGCTCCTCCTTGGCGACAACAGTATCGCCGTGTGTTAGCCAAGCGGCCAAGCGACCACAGTAACATGCTGCCTCAAGCGGAGTCACTGAAGAAGCACAAGACAGGGATTCAGAGCCAGTAACGAGCATCGTCTTCGCTCTGCCCATCCACTTCTTCTCTTTCTTCATCGCCGGTCTTGCTTTTCTTCGCCGGCCTTGCTCCCTCTCCTATTTGCTGCCTACAGCAGACACTCTCCGTCGTCGTCACGCATGGAGGAAAACATCCTCTCACTGCCTCCTCAATAGCGGTGAACGGCGAACAGCGGTGTCTTCCTCGCTTCCCGGCCAGCAGCAGTCGCAACTGTTGCATCTTCCTCTACCGCAGCAGCCTTCGCTGCCGCTTCCCTCTACACAACGGCGCCTCCTTAACGGCGGTGTCCTCCTCCTCAATAGCTATGAACGGCGAACGATGGTGTCTTCCTCGCTCAGTCTTCCTTGCTTAACGACGGCTGCTGCGTCTTCCTCCTTCGCTGTTGCAGTCGCTTCTCAGCCAGCAGCAACCGCAACTGCTGCATCTTCCTTCCTCTACCACAGCAGCTTTCGCTGCTGCTTTTCTCTATACATCTAATTGCTGCAGATTTCTCTCACTGCAGTTTCCTTGAGTAACACTGCAGATTTTCGTGGCCATTTCCCGGCGAACCGCAGTCTTGAGTACAGTTGCAGTTTTCGCAGCTATCTTCCGGCGAACTGCAGCCTCTCCAATTCGCTGCAGCAAGCAGCAATCCACAG